AAAATGAACTCCACGAATTGGAAACAAGAGGTTCTTATTATGCCCTGTATACAGTTATTTCTTTTTTTCTGTTATAATTTTTTGTACCCTTTGTCTTGTATATAAGTTTTTCTTATCTGTGAAAAGGAAAGGGAATCACAGAAACAGCAGAACGAAGGATTAACTAATGCAACAATGATAACCACTAGACACTATGTTGGAAATGAACTTTATAACTTGGGGGAGAGGGGAGTATGAAAGGGGCAAGTGGGAGAAAAATGAGGGAGGGGGTAACATTGCTTAAAAAGAAATTTGATGTCGGTATAATTTGTGGAGGGGAAAGGGAAAAACAAATCGTTTAAATAGGGATACAGGTGGACCCATTGCAACAATGAGATGTACAAGTCGTTATGTCAAAAACAAACTTTACAACTTTGGTTGGGGGAGGGTGAGGAGGGCGGGGAGGATTGGGGGGGCAGGGGGGAAGATGGGAAGGGATGGGAAGGGGAAACAAAGAAGGAGGCTACAATGCTTGATAAGAAATGTACTCATTATCTTGCCCATGTAATTGTAACCCCTCTGTACAGTATTTTCACAATAAAAAAATAAAAATCATAAAAAAGAAATGTACTCATTACCTTACTTATGTAATTGTACCCCCTCCAGTTTATCACCTTTACAATAAAAATATTAAAAAACACACACCAAGAGCATGGAAGAATTTTCCATTTCCTTAGATCTGCTTCTATTTCTTTTACAGTTTTTTAAAAAAGTTTTTCATAAAGAAAGACTTGGAACAAAGTATGTTAAGTGAAGAAACACAGACACAAAGAAACATAAGCTGCATAGTTTCCTTTATTTGTGGTAGCTAGAATGTGACTATAAATCCTCAAGTAAAATACGTGGATGCTAAAGGACAAAAAATACACTGGGACATGATAAATTATACAAGTCTCTAGACACACAATGAGGCCAAAGGGGGATATTCATAGGAGAGGATCACAATGTCTCAATAGCTATGTGCTAAATAAATATTTATCAAAATGAACTCCAAGAAATGGAAACGAGTGTTTTTTGTTTTGTTTTCTTTGTTGATGTTGTTTTATTTTTGGTAGGGCAAGGTGGGAGTCACAGAAAGGGTTGGACACACTGTGAACAAAGGCAGCAGTGATACTCACTAGGCACTATGTTAACAATGAACTATGCAACTTAAGGGTGGGGACAGGAGGGAAAAACTGGGAGATACTTAAGAAGAGGTGACATTGTTAAAAAATAAATGCACCCATTACCTAACTTATGTAACTATAACCCATCTGTACATTACTCTTATAATAACAATAAAAATATAGATCTAAAACTAAACATCTTAAAAACTGAAATTATGATGAATCTTTCCTCAAGAGAACAGGATCCTTTGAATATGAGCAGTGCCTTTTCAGATTGGATGGCTTTATATTTCCTTACAACAGTAGATGTTGTATTTTTTTTTCTTCATGACTTATTTTAAGGGTGCTAGCCATAGTCCAGTTGGGAGCAGAATAATATTTAGGAAAATAATAAATCTCTGAGAAGATAACTTGGACATGCTTTCTGGTGGACAAGTTGACCGTGGATTTGAGAATATGTGCTAGAAACATGTAACCTCAGATGATAGATGACATGCAGTCTTCCTGATTTATAATGACATCCTCACTCCCTGCATCCATCCCACTACTAGAAAAAAAAATATCTTAGTCGAATGTAGTGCCTGTGGTCTCAGGTGCACGTAGGCGAGAACATGCACAGTTATTCCTTAGTACCTGAGGGAGATTGGTTCCCAAGTCCCATGAGCATGACAAAATCCATAGATGCACAAGTCCCTTAAGTAAATGGTTTAATATTTCATATAACCTATGCAATCCAAGTCCCATGAGCATGACAAAAATCCATAGATGCTCAAGTCCCTTAAGTAAATGGTTTAATATTTCATATAACCTATGCAATCCTCTCTGGTATGCTTTAAATGATCCCTGGATTACTTATAATACCTAATACAATGTAAATGCTATTAAGTAGCTATTATACTGTATTTCTTAGGGAACAACAAGAAAAACAAAGTCGATGTATGTTCAGTATGGATAAAACCATTGTGGACTTAGCAAGGTAGTACTTTAGATGCATTATTTTGGACTATGAAGATATATCGATGCCATCTGATTTTCCCATGAAGATCTATATCCTTTACTTAATGATTTCAATTTTAAACATTTTTTGAGGGACAAAATAATCTAAATATCAAGCTTGAAACAGCAGGACTGTTTGCTTGGGATACCTATTTTGACAGTGATGGCTTTTCCTTTAAACTGTTGTTTCTTCTTGTTTTGGGCTTTTGCAAGGCAGGGCATCTGATAGTCTGAGGCATGGCTTCTATTATCAGTTAATCATTTCTTAAACACAGACCAAAGGGGAGAAAGTAGAAATCAGGTTTGTTGTGGTAGGAGGAGACATGCTTAGGTTTGTCTCAGAACTGAGATATGCTCAGTCACTTTAAATCTTTTTTTAATCGGCATTCTCAATTTTAGCTTATGAATCTCAGTTGTATTTCTCAAACTTTTGCCACATATTTTTAGTGTAATATGGTAGATAAGGATATTTTGTTGGTGTACCCGAGAAATTCTGAACTCCTTCAGGATTTTCAGGTGAATAATTATCATACCATAACATGTCTCTGAGTCTTGTGGTAGACTATCTATCTTCAGAAAAGAGGAGAATAAGGTGGATAAGGAAAGGAACATACTTTTTTGTGGAAACTTTTAAGAGTGGACAACTTGAAAGAAGCCCAGAAGTTTTGATAGAAAAGCAATTGAACCATTCAAGGGAGCCCATTCTGAATTAAAGTTATTTCAGCTTTAAGGAAAATTAGACATACATCACCTAGAATTATGTAAATTTCATACATTACAATTCCATGCTTGTTTCCCCTGCCTGGTTTAGGTACGCTGATGTTGAAGAATTGGGAAGAGTTGAAACTTGAAAACACTTTTCAGGGCATTGGAATGTGCTCCTTCCTTTCCCATTGGAAATTCTGACTCTGATTTAGGTTGATAGAATACATCATTTCTCAGTCATAGTGTTAAGATTATTGGAGAAATCATTTTCAAAGTTTCACTATATTGTTCTCAGAAAAATTAGTGACTCAGACTATAAAAAGGAATCAAGCATCGTAGATGTTTTGGATTAACAAAAATAAGAAATCTGGTTATTATTAGTGGTAGTAGCCTACAAGTTAAAATGTACTAAAAAGTCTTCAGTAAACAGAATACTAAAGAAATGACCTTTGTGACTGGCCAAATTAGATTGACTGAGGACAGCTAAAGTTGCTAATCTCCTTTACTATTTCATTACTTATATATTCCATTATTTTCCTTTAATGACTTTAGGGGTACATTTAGCTGCATACATGTATCCATTTGTTTTAAGAGTCAGAGAAATTTTCTTTAAATGAAAATATTTCAGCATTTATATTTCAAAATGTAATGATTACTAAAAGAAGATTACTGCAATAAAATTTTAGGAATAATATTCATTAAATATATGTAATATCCATAATAAATATTAACAAATATAATATTCTTAAATGTAATTCACAATTCATAAATAATAGAATGTAATTCAGAAGTACTACTTTGTAACCAAAAACTTATCAGTTTTTTGTATTCCTTATCAAGCATTTTTACATGTATGTCTTTGCAAGTTGAAAATAGATCAGTCAGTTCCAACTTTGTAGCATCTTTTTCTGCATGTAAAATGAAAACAAATGCATTGTATATATACTCCTTCATAAATTTTAGCAGTATACTCTGGCCTACTTTATGAATATGAAGTTATTTAGCTTATTTTATGCCATTGATAAAAACTTAGACTGTCACATGGTATTAAATATCTACTCAAATGAGCTTATCACATAGATGTTTATGTTTTTAATGGCTTAAATTTTGATTCCATAATTTCTAATGTATAGGAAATTTTAAATAAAATTCAGCTATACCATATCCTCACATTGTCCTTGCTTTTAGTTATCTCTCTTTCAGCACAACTTACCAGTATCTTGTTTTGCTATGTTTATAGAAAAACAATGCATACAACACACACTCAGTTTCCCATATCAACACATCACATTATGTGATGATTTTCATGTGTTTCATGTTTTGTGTCATCTGATGTTGCCTTACACCACAGTGTTTCCTTTTTATGCAAAAGTATGAAAAGTTGGGCTGGGAAGGTGGCTCAGTGATAGAGCGCTTGCCTTGCATGCATGAGGCCCTGGGTTCGATTCCTCAGCACCACATAAGCAAAAAGAAAAAAGCCGGAAGTGGCGCTGTGGTTCAAGTAGTAGAGCGCTAGCCTTGAGCTGAAGATCTGAGGGACAGCGCCCAGGCCCAGAGTTCAGGCCCCATGACCAGACCCCCCAAAAAAAAAAAGTATGAAAAGTTAATTTTTAAATTTAAATTTTATTGCCAAGGTGATGTACATAAGAGTTACAGTTACCTAAGTAAGGTAGTGAGTACATTTCTATAACTGTATAAAATATAGAGAAATACTGTCTTTACTTTCTTAAAGAAGACTTTGGGATTTACATCATATTTAATAGCCAATAGAGATACAATAATAGACATGAAAATACAGTTATGAAAAAGTTCTTAAACAAAAAAGGAATTTTTGTACTGATTACATCTTAAAGTACCCACAAATCACTTCTTGAAAAGTGAAACCTTAAGAAGCAAAACACTTCCTTAAAGATATGTTACAATACTAATCCATCTCTTTAATATTGTTTATTTCATAAAATATTCAGCTGAGCAGCCCAGTACCTTATTTAGGCAACTTCAAATAAGAAAATACTATTTAAACAATATCTAGGAGTTTCTGTGAAATTTTCAAAAAAGTAATTCCTGGATACAGCTAACATTTTTAAACAGTTTTTACATGTTCTAAGGTACAGTAAATCTAAAGCTACACAGGAAAAAAACTTTAGAACTTACCGATACATCTTAACCCCAAATAACAACGTGATCCTTTTTCTCTGCCTGTCCAACTGCTTTGAGATTCCCACTCAAATGAACCACTCTTATGTCTTAGGTGTACCTTTGAAGGAAATGCAGTCACAGGAGGAAATCCCACATAATTAAAATCTAACTTGTTAAACAAGTCTGAAGGAGTCAACTTAAACCAATAGGATGACTTGTAGATCCAAAACAGAAACAGACAGGGTATCTCACAAATCAGTAAGGATTTCATGCATTCTAGTAAATAAGCACAAATGTACATGGTAAGCATTCTGCAAAATTCTAGGACTGTTTCACATGGCAGAGTCATTTTTAACTCAAGAGGACATGCCACTTTTGCCCATGTTATCACATTGCCATGAGCCACTGTAATCTAAGAATTATCAGAAAGCATTTTTCCTACATAATGAGCATTACTTCTGAAACCTTTGTCTCTGTTATAAGGCAATGTTTTTCTTCACAATGTCTGGAACAGAGATAGAGAGAACAACTTGAACAGGTGTATAACAATAAGCAAGCAGACAAATGAAACAAAAATCCACTTTTTGCCAAATATTTTAACACACTGCTTTTAAGATGAGTTTCCAGTAGCAAGAAATAGACGAATGTGTAAAATTAAGGTAAAGATGTGGCGTGGGGAGCTTCTACACAACAAAACCCAACTAAACACATACGTAAGAAAAGTGTGGCATTGAGAAAGGGGATTCATACCGAATAGGCTGGGGTATAGAAGATAAATGTAGAGAGTTATGTTGGTGTTACTTCGGAGAAATAACAAATCCTAAAGAATTGAAGCTTGTAAGTAGATGAAGCATTAAAAATTGCAAACCTTAGCTTCTTCTCCAATAAAAGGAAAAACTATTACTCATTTCTCTGCTAGTCTCTTAGGCTTCTGAGAAAATGGAAAGGTGAGTTAGTTCTTGGAGGATGCTTTCGACTTTAAAAATACACGACTTTATGTGATAAATCACCAATAGCTAATGGCAATAACTTTACTATAGAACTTCAACTTAAAGTATTCAATTAGGTATATAATTTCAAAAAATGTGCTATCCACACAACAAAAACAGGAATACTTACTCCTTCATTATCTCTCTTAACTATATTTTTAGACATTGTATCCCATGATATTCTGTATGTGGTCTTTTCAGTAAAAAAAATGTATTAACATAAAAACTTCAAACAGAATTACCAAAACAATTTTAATTTATAAACATGTTACATTTAAATACTTCTCATATTTGTAAATCTTTTTCACAAGGTTCACTTGGCCTTTGATTTTGATACTTAATATTATTTCATATATATCCATATCCATTTCTAGTAGCTTCTGTATATGACATGTTGTTCTGATGCAATTTAAACTATCATAAGATGCACACTCAGATTCATCCACTTCAACAGCTGCATTTTAAAGGACAAATCTTATTACACTAAATGAATTTATCATACAATGTTGAAGTCATTTTTCTAATGTGAAGAATTTGCACATATTCTACATTATCTTAGCGACACATTCATGATCATAGTTCATCCTATTGCTGAAGTGTTACTCAGAATACATTGAAGAGTCACATTAGGCCAAATGCTTTAGTATCTTTAAATTTTTACTTTGTTTACAATGCTTTTTTCTAGAAATTGGAATGTTGTCTTCTGGTCTTTGTTTTGTTTTGTCTACAGAATGTCTCCTTGAGTATGTAAGCTCTCACAGCTTTATATTTCCTGGAGGAGTCAGCCTCCATCTTTGGACAAGTCGGTTCTTACTCAATGTATTCTGTTCGAATGTCTAATCTATGAGCTCAGATCTATTATTATTTTTATTCACAACAGAACTTGAGAATGAGTCAGGGGAGTAGTGTGGGGAAAATTGAATTCAAACTGAAAGTGACTTCCTGCATGATTATGAGTTCAACACAGCAAGAGAGGTGGGTCAGAAATTACTTGCTTTACTAGACAAAGGAATTGTTCATAATGGGAGCTAGTTACAAAGGTGTTGACTTTTATCTCCAGATCCTTAAGGAGTGGCAGGATCAGCTTTGATCTAGTCTATTTTAAGGGGCAGTCATTATTTTTTAAAAAAGGAATGTAGATTCACCTTATACAAATAATACAGGGAATTTCCTCTTGACTATTAAAGGCTTGCTTTTCCCCTAAGGCAATTCAATCTATGAACAGATAAGACTACCTACAAGAAGATAGTACAGATCACATAGTTTGAAAGAAGATGAATCTTACTATATAAAGATAATTGACAAAGTCACAAAAATATATTAAGTGAACTAAGCCAGGCCCAAAGAAACATAGGTCCCATGGTTTCCCTTATTTGCAATAACTAGTATATGTCTGAGACAAGCAGAAAAGGTCAGATAAGTTGATGTTAGGATAAATGAACCCCAAGATAAGGACTCAAATGGTTTTTCTTGCTTGCTATTGTTTCTAACATTTATAAGGTGATTTTTTTTGTTGCTTTGTATGT